GAAAGGGTGAAAATTAATGGTCAAAACCCATCTCACCCTTAAAAGCACAACAAAGTAAATTCACAGAAAATACTGTTATAGCAAAGGAATTGATAAAAATAAGAGATAAAGGCCAGCCAGGCATGGGGATGCAGTCCTGTAGTCCCAGCACTCCTGAGGCTGAGGCAGGGGGATCGCCACAAGTTCAAGGCCAGCCTGGAGTATGTAGTGAGTTCAAGGCCAGTCTGGACTATATAGTGAGACCCTGACTCAAAAACAACAACAAAAAAACAATCACAAAAATCAAGAGAAATCAACAAAGATAATTGTATCATTAAATTGATAACCCTAACTTAAAAGGAAAATAATTTTTTCTAATGGACAAGAGTACCAATTTTATAAAATCACAATGGACAGATTTATAAAATACATTTGACAACTTGGATGAAATTGGGGAAGTTCCATGAAAAGCACAACTTTTCTTTTTTTGGTACTGGGGATCGAACTTGGGACTTGTGCTTGTGAGGCAGGCAGCAGCACCACTGAGCTAAATCCCTAGCCTGAAAACCACAACTTTTAAAAAGCCAACAGCTGAGCATGGTGGCTCACGCTTGTAGTCCCAACACTAGGAGGCTGAGGCAGGAGGTTCACCATGAGTTGGAGGTCAGGCTGGGCTACATACTGAGTTCAGTACCAGCCTGGACTACATGGACTATCCTGTCTCAAAAAACCAACAAGGTATTAAAAATCTGAACTCATCTGTTTAATTGAATTTATAAATAAAATATTACTGAAAACAGCTAAGGCCAGAAAACATCATTGTGAATTTTTCTAAACATTTAAGGAATAAATAATGCTAATCTTAAACCGATTCAGAGTTTAGAGGGGATTTTATAAGGCAAACAAAACCCTTGTCAAACTGGATGATGATTAAAGTTATAGGTGCAATATTTTTTATGAACAGAGATGCAAAAATCCTAAACAAAGCCTTAGCAAATTAAATCCAATAATAAGTAAAAATTATAATGCTCAGAACTAATAAATTTGTTTCAGGAATGCAAGGTTGTGTGTATGAAAATCAATGTAATTCAGCACATTGACTAAAATATGGAGAAAAACCATATTTTAGTACATGTAGAACGTTTGATAAAATTCAGTACTCATGATAGACTAGAAATAAAATGGAAATTCCTTAATAAGACAGATATCTATCATGGCTCTTTCACTTTGTTTTTTGTTTTGTTTTGTTTTGGTACCAGGGATCGAACTCAGGTCTTTGCACTTGCGCAGCAGGCAGCAAAACCACTGAGCTAAATCCCCGGCCCGGCTCTTTCACTTTGTGATCAAACACTGAACACCCTTCTTTTGTGTTTAGGAACATTATAAGGTTGTCCACTACCACTAGGTCTGTTTAACATTTTACTGGAGATTCTACCACCTGCAATAATATAAATAAAGCAAATAAAATGTATAAACTTTAAACAAAAGTCTCATTTACAAATGACACAATGTATACATAGAAAGTCTTGAAGAATACAAATCATTAGAATTTCAGTTTTATATATATATATATATATATATATATATATATATATATATATATATATATGAAACAAATAGTTGGAAAATGGATTTTTCAAAGACAATGTTATTTACACCAGCATGAAATTACCTAAGACCAAATTTAATGAAATATGTAGAGGACCTCTCTACCAAAATGTGAGAGAAATTTAGCCTAAGTAAATCCAGAGGTGTATCCTTTTCGTGGATTGGAAGCTTGAGCTAAAGATTCAAAACTATTCTAATTGTAACTATAGCAGACTTTTGTTTAGAAATTGGTAAATTGATTCTAAGTTTTATTTGGAAATGTCAATGACCTAGAATAGACAATCTCAAAGAAGAGCAAAGTTGGAGGACTTAGGCAGCCACATATGGAGACAAAATACTGTAAAACCACAACAATCATGACAAAGTGGTATTAGTGTGAGGAAAGACATTTAATTCATTGACAGAAAATTCCAGAAACAGATCGACATACAGGGTCACCTGTTTTACAACAAAAGCATGTTATAGTTCCATGGAGAAAGGGTAACCTTTCAGTAAAGTGTGCTCAGTCGACTGAATAACCACATGAGAAAGAAAAAAACCTTGATACTTACCTCAGAATATAAGTGGAGTAACTTGAAATGGTTCATGGTTTTAAATATGAAAGGTAAAGATTTTTGTTTGTTTTGTTTTTTGTTGATACTGGGGATTAAATCCAGGGCCTTTGCACTGAGCTACCTTGCCAAAGCTTTTTAAATTTTTAAATTTTGATTTAGGGTCTTGCTAAAATGCTAAGTAGCCCAGGCTGGGGTCAAACTTCTAGTAATCTTGCCTCAGCCTCCCAGAGTTCTGGGATTATAGGCTTGTGCCACTACACCCAGCATAAACTGATTTTATACGTAGAAAATTATTAGTGGGAATAGATGAATTTAGAAATGTTGCTGGATAGAAAGTCTGTATGAAAATTGTATCTACTAGCAGCAATTAGAAAATGACATTTAAAATATTCCATTTAAATACCAGACGAGGAAGAATAACTAAAGATGAACGAAGTATCTGTGTAGAAGACTATAAGATTTACTGTGAGAAATTAAAGAAGACCTGAAAAAGACAGTATGGTATTTCTGAATTGAAAGACTTAATATTGTAAAAATCTCAGTTCCCTCCAAATTTTCTATAAGTTTAATTGTGTCCCAGTAAAAGTTTCAAGAGGTTGTGTGTGTGTGTGTGAAACTTAGTATGCTGATTCTGAAACTTAAATGGAAATTCAAAGGATCAAGAATAACCAAGACAGTCTTGATGAAGAATAACAAAGTCAAAGAACTTACATCACCAGACTTCAGAACTTACTATGAAGTTCATAATTAAAACAGTACCTTACTCTGGTACAAAGATAGACAAATAGACTAATGGAACAGAATAGAAAGTCCAGAAGCCCAGTGGTGCCTTGGTTCACAAATTCAGTTCTCTCCATGATTCTGGACAAGAACTATATTAAATTTTCCCATAAGGTCGACATTGAACCTAACCATTGAATTTGATTCAGTTCTCATCCAACTCAGTTTGTAACCAAAATCATGGAAAGAATCAAGTTCGTGAACTGAGGTCCCACTGTATATCCAACCCTACACTCCCTAGTATATATTTATGACCTTGAGTACTATTGTGATGTGTGGCCCATGAAAATATGGTTATCATTTTTGGGGTAGGAAGCACTTTTCAGGAAAAAAATATTTTAGAGGGGCCAGAGCTGTTTCTCACCATATTAGCTATATCATTTTCTAGTATCCCAGGCTTTGTTATTCAGGACATTAATTTTATTCATCAAAACAAAACATGAGTTAGGAATTGGCTTAAGCTGCATTTTGGCAGTCTGAATATCATCATGTCTATTTGTGCAAATTCAGCTACATTCAGTTTAGGGTATGTATGGATATAATGTAAATACTTCAATTTGCTGCAATGAAACCCATCAATCTATATAATCAATATGTACTAATAAAAATGTGAAACAAAACAAAAATATTGAAAAAAATGAAACAATGTAGTTTTTCATCCAGTGACCTTACAATTGAGTGGTAAACATGAGTTGAGAAATACAAATCCACAGGCCTGCCTGCCCCCAGTAGCCATGTTCCATGCCGTATGACCATTCCACAATCAGCCACAACTGTCATTTTCCTAAAAACCAAGAAATTAGTCATGTATAGTAGAATCACAGTTCATGCTGGGGTTGGACTCTATAAGATGCAGAATAAGAAGAATAACTTCATGGCTACTCGGGGCAGGCAGGCGTGTGGATAAGATGTGTTATCTTAGAGGCAATGTAGGCATGCAGATTCCCTGAAATACGTTTGCTATTATATATGTGTGTACGTTTGCTCTTATGTATTTCAGCTACCAGTATTTTCTTATACACAAAGATCCCTAAGTCTGTCCCTTTTCACTAGAGCCTAGATTGTAGAATGGCATTTGTGCACTCTCTAGTCTCATGGTATTGCTTTCCATCCCTCAGCCATGGATGTTCAATTTACCCTGATAGTTACCTCAGGGAATTTTGAGGAACTTTATGGGTGGCTTCTGCCAGCTCACCCCTTCCCTCCCCATACACAAAGGGACAAGACTCTTATTTACCTTCCAGGACTGCCAGAATTGAGACAGAATTGTCCCTGACCTCAGCTCCATCCTCTTTCTTCTCCAGAAAAGCTGCTTTTGATTTTCAGCTATCATTCCACAGCATTGAGGCGGGACACACTGCTGCTCAGGATGATCTCAGTGGCTCCTGGCCTCTGTCATTCAGATCGATTCCGTGCTGGCAGCTGCTGTTTTCTACAAGTGGCATTACTGTTGTCAGCCAGGTTTTTGTTTGCTTCTCTCTTTTCTTTTCCCCCAACTTTCTCATGTTCTGTAGCTTCTTGGCTTTTGCTCCGGAATTACTCGTCACTTATAGACTGTGCCAGCTAATGAGCCCTGTCTTTCTGCCAGGTGGACAAATACATCCAACCAATGGGTTCTGTCATTTAGCTTTTTTGGCCATGTTATTTGAGGCTCAAATCTGAGCTTGTTTGGTGCATCCAAAAGAGAGGTTTGCGTCATGTGTTAGGGATATTAGAATTTGAAGGACTTGGTTATCACCAGGCTTGGTAGATTAGAGAGCTGGCCCTCACACAGAATTACTTAGAATCACTTTCCCATGTTCATTTCTAAAAAAACAAGGAAATTTAAAAAAAAACAAAAAACCCCAAGGAAATAAAAGATTAATGAGTTCTGTTTCAGAGAATTTGTATAGTGTTTCAAACAGCTTATGAATGTACAAACTTTGAATATTTCAGTCATGAAATTACTATGTACTTGATTGTTGCTAATTGAGAAATTTTGAAAAAACCATATGACACTTTAGATTTTATCTTTCAAGTCATAATTATACTAAAATGTTAACAGTATCTTTTTGTGTGTGTTTTTTCCTTTCTTTCTAGAATATTTTCCTTCTTGGATATAGTAACTCTGTGCAGATGTGCGCAGATTTCCAAGGTAGTGTATTCTCTAGATCTTTAATATTTACCAAGTTTTATTGGAATAAGGATGAGCTTTAGTTCAAATTAAATATTAAAATTAAAATATTACCTTTTGTATTCAATAAGACATGTTATCATAATCCTGTATTTGATTATTAACTTGATATATATCAAGAATAAAAGTTTGGAAATATAAAGGTTGCAAATATTTTTTTAACAGACTCAGTGACGGTACCTCTTTCACCCATACCCCTTTTCTTTTTTCTTCTGCCACTCAGGCTTGGAACATCTTAGCCCTAGATGGAAGCAACTGGCAAAGAATAGATCTTTTTAACTTTCAAACAGATGTAGAGGTAAGTTAGTTAATTTTATTTAGAGGACTTTTCAAACAGATAAGTAACTGTTCCCTCTAATCTGCCTTTTTTTTTTTTAACTGCATTTTAGATTTAATAGAAAAGGGTTTTTCTGTTCTGTTTTGTTTTGTTTTTTGAGACAGGACTTTACGATATAGTTACAGGCTGACCTTGAACTCCCTATGTAGCCCAGGCTGGCCTCGAACTCACAACGATCCTCTTCCCACAGCCCTAGAGTGCTGGGATTGCAGGTGTTCGCCATCACATCTGGCATATTAAAGTGTTCAGAACACTTTAGAACAGAAGAGAAAAAAATCTGGAAGATATTTGTATATATCAAGACCAAATTTTCCCTTGTCTTTTTATTTTTGCCCTATATCAGTGACAGATAGCTTTCCCCCCTTGTTCATGTTCATAGTCTGAGTTTTACCCCCACCACTTTAAAGTCTTGCAGCTCCATCATTAACACCTACCTAGTCCTTTATAGGACATCTGACAAATGTTTCTTGAAGTGAAAGATCTGGGAATTGTAATTCAGCATTAAGAATGGAGAAATGCCTGAGGTGCAGGCCTAAGAGTGAGGCTGGATATGTGAAGTGTGACTCCAGCCTGGCTGCTTAAATGATATACTCTCAGGCCTCTGTTCGATTACCTGTGAAATAAAGAAGTAATTCTTTAAAACTCTTTCCAATTCTAGGATTCTGCTCTACCAGGTATGATTTTAAAAAATACCATGTTTATTTAAATAAAGACTTATAGTGAAAGACACGTTCACTCACTTTGAGCATACTTATCCCATTGTTCTTTCCACTTTCTGCATCTTTGCTTGCGCTCTTGTGGCTGCCTTGATGTCCTAAATTGATTCAAAACATTTGCCCTCTGTGGTCATTTTGGCTTTGAGGAAGAGCCAGAAGTCACACAGTGTCAGGGCCAGTGAATAAGGTGAATGAGGATACACCATGTTTTTATGAGCCTGCCTTTCTATTAGATGGCACTTGGCAGTAGAAGTCTGTTTTGTTTTGTTTTGTTTGTTTTTTATCACATCTTATAAAGACATGAAAGAAGACTTTCAGAACTGTTTCAGAAAGTTGCAATAATGATGGGATAGGTGGGTGTCTTGAGGTGGGGTTGGGGGTATATTTTGAAGGGGATTAATGGCGGTGTATCTTTCAATGTAATAAATATTTTAAAATTTTAAACATTCAACATATTTTTGTATTCTTGTATTTATCTGGAAATACATGAATATTTTAGCTTAAGAGTGGTAAACCTAGACAACTAAAGTTTATTTTAAAACAATTTCAACACATTTATGGCAGGGCTGTAATTCCTGTGTTTCACTGCAGGGTGGCTTGAACCACTGGTGGTATGAACAGATCTAATCACTTTTATCAGTCTTTTTAACAAAAATTAATAAAAAGTAACCTGTTGGGACAGTCAGGCATGTACCACTGGTGGTTTGAACAGGCAGGAACATGTTAATATTAAATACCGTATTTCTAATCAAAAAGCAAGGGTAAGAGTAATAAAGAACATCGCACAGAATAATTGCCTAAAGTGCTGATTTGAGGGTATTGAGATACCAGAGTTTATTATCTTCCCAATGTTAGTAAAACCTTATTCCTTTCCCATTTAGCCAATTCAGTTACTAGAATGGAATTGTACTTTAATTCAGTTAATATAGTATGTTTGCCAAATATTTTATCAAAGTGTGTTTTGTGTCTTTTTTTAATGAATAAGGAAATGGTTATGTTTAACAGTGATGTAAGTCCAAGCAGTTTCCTCCTAGTTACTTCACTTGGCAGAACCTAGAAGAACTAATGGCCTGTTGTGGAGGTCCCTTCCCACCTCCGCGATGTCACTTGCTGCATGGAGAGTCTGGGCTCCGTTAAGCCAGTGGAGCAGGCATGTCCAGCAAGTGGGGCAGAGCACAGGAGTTCCACAGATGCTTTGGAACTCCCTCATTCCTCTCATTCTGTGGTGCTCTGAGCTTGGAAGGGCGCTGGGATCTAGAGATTCATGTCCATGCTGGAAAGATAAGCTCCAGTTCCTGGCTTACACTGGTCCCTGCATCAGGTGTTTACTGTGGCTCTTTCCAGTTTTAATAACAGTAATTGCAAGTACCCCACCCACACATGGCAGCCTTCCAAACCAGCCACTTTCAAAGTGATAATCTCTAAATCTTTTGCTCACTGTGTCTTAGTGATACTGAAAAGAATCCTAAATCGTAAAAATGCAGTCATTCCAGTGGCCATAAGTCTTGCTCACTGGCCAGTGTTCCCACAGCGGACCTCAGGGAGCCTGATGACCGATGGAGCAGGCTTGATTCTGGAGGGGAAGGGGCCTCACTCAGGGCTGAGGGATCAAAAGACGGCGCCCAGGCTCTTTGAAAAAATACGTCCATGGTTTCATTGAAAACATTTTTCTTTTTTGCAGTAGGGATAGAACTAAAGTGCTAGAGGAATGTTCCACAATATTTTCTGTTACATTTCTGGAAACATATATTGTTTCTGAATTTCATGTTATTCTACTGCTAGGTTAGCAGCATGAAAAAGTGATACTTTTTCTAACTCTCTCCATTCAAGGGTCGAGTAGTGGAAAATATCTCGAAGCGATGTGGTGGATTCCTAAGGAAGCTCAGCTTGCGAGGCTGTATTGGTGTTGGGGATTCCTCCTTGAAGTAAGTCAGATCCATGGTGACCTACTCTGTCACGGCAGCTTGTAGCTGACATTTCTGTGAGCAAAAATAAACCGAGCACATCATAAGGTTTTCTTTCTATGACAGTTTGTGTAGAGTAATGAGAGAACCATGACTTTGGAATAACAGGTGAGCTCCACTGTGAGGGATGCAAACTTGGGACAAATTATTTCACCTGGCTGAGTGTCTGTGCTCTCTCCTGCAAAGTAGGGCAGTTACAGTTCATGCACAGGAGTGCTGTGAACGTGACATGAAACAACATATATGAAGTGCTTGGCACATAATATTATTATGTTTGTTCACCTCTATTCCCTTCTTTACTTTCCCATCTTCCTAATTTCTTATAAAATTATTGAAAAAATAATACTTTCAAAAATTTCCTTACCATAAGGTAGAATTTTGCTTACTCATACGAGGTGTGATCATTACAAGCATTTTATTATAGTTAGCAGTATTACCTACCCAACTAGATGCATGTCCACCCTTACTGGATAGCTATTAATTATTAGGAATGTTATCAAACCACTATTAAGAACATGTTCTTTAAGATTTTTCTGGAGATAGACAAGGTTAGAGCCTTTGTGTCTTTATTATAGTGGCCTCTAGTATTGCTTCTGAGATTGGCTGAATTAGAACATGACCTTGGAAGCTTGGAACAGGCGTACATATCACCACCACAGCAGGCCTCCAGGAAGAACGTGCTGTGTACAGTGAATGCAGACAGAAACATTTATACTTCATTATCTGCTACAGCATCACTGAGAAATTTGGCTCAGCACTTTTAAGGATCAAAACACTTTAAATGCTATGGAACAAAGTGTTTTGTTTTATTAAGAAATTTGGGACATCATACCAGATTTTTTGCTGCTTCAGAATCTTTGAAAACCAATGAAATGGATTGCTTCTATCTTAAGGGAAGCTTAAATGTAGCAGTAGTTCCTAAGAAAATTTATAATAGAGAAGATAAATCTAATAGAGGTTCCATTAAAGAAATTGAATGTGAAGATATGAATTGTCAAGGAAGTATGGCAAAGAAATATATTCTTATTTTGGCAATTGGAATAAAACCTTATCTACTAGCAAAACAGTCTTTTGAAGCTAAGAATGTTTGTTGGTTTTAGAGCAAAAATCTGTATTGGTTAGATATCTATGCATTTTTATATGTAAAGACTACATTATTATGAGATACAAGCATAGTCATGAAGTCATGACTCAGAAGAACTTTTATTATTCCTTTAGTTTTGTATAGAAATCATTTAGAACCAGCCTTGGCCTCTACTCTCTCCCACATGTGTACTGTTTGGAGGAAGCTATTCATTTATAAACCTTCATTGAACCCTTACTAGAAAAGATACTGACTTAGACAGTGGAGATACAATAGCAAACCAAATAGATTAAAAACAGAACTAATAGACCTTGGATACATTCTCTGTATCGTTCCTGTTCTATCACTATATAGAAGTCCTATGGTGCTTTTTGTTTGTTGGTTGGTACTGGGGATTGGACCCAGGGCCTTCTCACTTCTCCCAGGGCCTTCTATATCCTGAGCTCTTAAATTTTGACACAGGCTTAGTATGTCACCTAAGTTGCCCAAACTGGGCTTGAAATTGGGACCCTATTGCCTCAGCCTTGTCCTATGGGTTAACAACTTTATTGAGATGTAATTGAGGTAAAAATAGGCTGGACATATTTAAGGTATATAATTTCATAAGTTTTGATGTGTATATACTCATAAACCAACACCATATATAGTATGTAGTCAGCCCTCCATATCCATGAATTCCATATCCATGTATTCACAGATCAGAAATATTTTTTAAATTATACTGAATGGTACGCTATATTTTTCTTACCCTAAACAATACTGTTTATATAGCATTTACATTGTAGTAGGTAGTGTAAGAAATCTAGAGATGATGTAAAGGTTAAGAGAGGATGTTTATAAGTCATATGCAAATACTGTATCCTTTTAGATAAAGGACTTGAGTATCTATAGATTTTGATATCTACAGGGAGGTCCTGGAACCAGTCCCCACAGATCCTGATGGGCCACTGTACTTCTTTTGCCTAGATCCTTTCACTCGACATAATTGCTTTGAGATTTATCCATGTTGTGTGTATCAGCGGTTCTTTCCTTTTCACTGTTAAATGTAGTCCATTGCACAGATATACAGATAATCCTTGAATGATGAGGGGGTTATTACCCTCTAAACCTATCTGAAGTTGCAAATATTGCTACGTTGAATGTGCATTTAATATGCCTAACATACATCATAGCCAAGCCTAACCTTAAATGTGTCATAACACTTATGTTAGCCAAAGCTGGGCAAAATCACCTACTACAAAGCCTTATAATAAGTGTTGATAGCTCATGTAATTTGTTGAATTCCTGTATCCCCAAACTGCCAGCACCACAGTCATTACCATTGCCTCGCATCACAAGAGCATATCATACTGCAAAGTGCAGTTTCTACTGAATTATGTATTGCTTTCATACTATCATAAGCCAAAAAAATCCTAAGTTAAGCCATTATAAGTTGGGGACTTACAGTGTGTTTATACCTTCATCCGTTTATGGACATTTGGATTTATTCCAGCTTAAGGGTTGTTAGAAATAAAGCTTCTATGAAGCTGGGCCAGGTGGTACACACCTGGCATCCCAGCACTCTGGGAGGCTGAGCTAGGAAGATTCCAAATTCACACCCAGTCTGGACACTTTAGCATGATCAGACCTAGTTGGGGCAATTCAATGACTTAGCAAAATCATGTTTCAAAGTAAAAAATAAAAAAAGGCTATGGATGAAGGCCTTGAGTTCAGTCCCAAGTACTGATAAGAGAGATAAATAAGCCAGCAAATAAAGCTGCTATGAATGTTTGTGTATGTCTTTGTATGATACATGCTTTCATTTCTCCTGGATAAAATACCCAAGAGTTGAATGGCTAGACCATTTGGTAGGTGCATGTTTAACTTTTAAGGAACTTGCAAACTATTTCCCAAAGAAATTGTAGCATTCTGTATTCCCACCAGCAATATTTGATACTTTTGGTTCTTCCACATTCTTGCCAACATTTGGTATGGTCAGTCTCTTTGAATTATATTCATTTAGTAGATGTGTACATGGTATAGTATTGCTTTAATTTTCATTTCTCTAATGGGTAAGATTACTTTCTCTACTGATGCCGTTTAGCATCTTTTAATGTATTTATTTGCTATCCGTGTATCTTTGGTGAAATACCTGTTCAAATCTTTTTGCCCATTGCTTTTATTAGATTGTTTTCTTAACCATTGACATTTTTGTCAGACAATCTTTTTATTGAATATTTTCTTATGCTTCATAGCTATGTGGGCACTCACCCACACCCTTGTTGATGTCATCTATAACGTCAGGGGGGTGCTGGCTGTGCATATTGCAGCCCATGTACTGGGCAGTCCCCTGGGTCTCTTTAATGGTTCCAGAAAGTGCCACATCTGTCAGGCACTGTTGAGAATCTCATCAAAAGCACTCTTTCCAGTGTGTTTAATATTTTTCTGTTTCTTCTGTCTCTTGGTGGCTCCTTGAGGGCTTTGATGATCAGGGCAGAGGCAGAAGGCACCACCTCAGTCTGGGCCTGTCTGCTCTGACTGGTCAGATACTTCCAGTCACCAGTTGCCTTGGCAACATCATCACCTACTTCTTTTGGAGACAGACACAGGGGGCCAATCTTGGGGGAAAAGGCAGACGTGACACTGACCACCACTGGTGCACCTCAGGTACATGACTTTGATCTTGTTGGGGGCTGAACTTGGGCGACATGGTAGAGGCGGCTGATGTCGGATGAACCTGGATTTGGAACAACTGAAGAAAGTTGCACCTTAGCCTCCTCCAGCCAAGAGCCTTAATCATTGGAGTTCTTTTTTTTTTTTGGTACTGGGGATCGAATTCAAGTCTTTGTGCTTGTGCAGCGGGTGGCAAAACCACTGAGCTAAATCCCCGGCCCTCGAGTTCTTAATTATGTCCTAGATACAAGTCCTTTGTCGGGTATGTGTTTTGTAAATATTTTGTCCCAGTCTGTAGCTTATTTTTTCATTCTCTTAACTGCCTTTTTGAAGAGAAGTTTTTTAATTTTAAAAAGTTCAGTTTATCAAGTTTCTCATGTGGACATTTCTTTTGGCATGAGAAATTGATGCTTAACCCAAGGTCGTAAGGACTTTCTCCTGTTTTTCTTTAGAAGTTTTGTGGTTTAGGTATATGTTCCATTCCTAGAAGACTTTTATATATGGTGTAAGGTCTGCATTGAACTCCTCTTTTTGGCCTATGGATGTCCAGTTTTTCTAGCATGATTTCTTGAAATGAACAGTCTTTTTCCACTGAATTGATTTTGTGTGTTTGTTGAAAACCAGTTTTCTGCAGTGTGTGAAACTATTTTTGTGGTCTCTATATTAATCCAAACTACACTGTCTTAGTAACTGTAGCTTTGTAATGGCTTGAAATAAGGTAGTATTAGTCTTCCAACTTATCTTAAAGGTACTTTGGCTACTCTAGGTCCATTGCATTTCCCTATAAATTATAGAATAAGCTTGTCAATTTCTGTAAAACAGCCTGCTGGGATTGTGATTCAAATAATGTTGAATCCCATAGGTCAATTTGGGGAGAACTGACATCTGAACAATATTGATTCTTCCAATCCATGAACATGATATATCTCTCAATGTATTTAGTTGCTTTGAAGTTTCCCTCAAGCCAAGTGTGGGCACACACTTGCAGTCTCAGCACTTGGGAGGCTGCGGCAGGAGGATTGCCGTAAGTTTGAGGCCAGCCTGAACTATATAGCAAGACACTGTCTTGAAAAAAAATTTCCTCTCAGCATGTTTTACAGTTTTCAGTGTAGAAATTTTACACATATTTTGTCATATTTATGCCTTTGTGAACAGTATTTTATTCCAGTTTTCAATTGTTCATTACTGAAAATACTATTGATTTTTGTACAGTGATTTTTTTGTT